GTAAACCTTAATTAAAGCAATTGTTTAGTCAACCAGCATTAGAGGGGGTGGATATTTTATCAATGGGTTTCATAGATATTTGCTCATAAACACAGGAATGGTGAAACTCAGGAATCTATGAACTGTACTACTGGCTCTGGAGAAGAGTGGGCTGTAGTATCCACAATCTCTCCATCCCCTTCAATCTGTCCTGGTTTCAAACCTGTCTTTCTGAAACAAAGGTTCCTTGTTCCAGTCCCATACTCCTTACCTATCCAGGCCCAGCCTTCAGTCCAGTTACCTTCCTTCTAAAGCCTAATCTCAGCTCATTAGATTCCTCTTATCCCATATCCCTCCCTACTACCAGTGGGAGTTTCATCAACCATTCCCAATTCCTTTGCCCAGCCAGTCCCAATTCTCCATCCTACACCCCTGCTCCTTCTTCATCCTCCAGCCTCATTCAGTCAAGGTTTCCACCTTGTCATTCAGTTCTTCCTGATTTGGATTCCAGTACCATGCCTCTTTGCCAAGTAAGTCCCGGTCTACCCTTCCAACTTCCCTTCTCTCCCAGAAGCCTATAGTTCCAATCTGTTCTGCCTGTAGATCTGGCTCTTCCCCTTCTGAATTCAAATCATGCAGTTTACAAATTCATCAAAAATTTAAAGATCATTGTGACTGAAGAAAACCTATAAAGCATGAACTGTCAGGTCATTAGGGTAAGTGCCCCGATATGTGCGTCTTAGGGCTCCTCTAGACGTTTAGGTAACACTGCAGGACTTGCAGCATTCCATGTGCTGCCCCTGCTGTGAGCTCCGCAGCTGACAGGGGAGCAGTGTTGCAAATGCTGCTGCAAGTCTCATCAGTTGCTGGACTTACAGCAAAGACAGCATGGGGAATGCTACCACTGCTATCAGCCTCCTGAGCTGTGGGGCTGGGAGCAGGTGGTGCACCACTGTGGCTGGGAGCCCCTCAGTTGAAAGGACTCCCAACCACAGGGAAGTACCTGGCCATATGTTCAATTAATGGCATGATAAGAACAATCCACGAAGTTATACCACATTGTTCCTGGAATAATTTTGTGGCTTATTGCTTGTTTTATCATGCCATTCATTGATTAAAGGTGTGGCTGGGTTACAACTTCAGTCATGAGATTACCTGCTAATCGTGCCTTAAGTGTAATGTGTAGATGGAGCCTCAGTGTATTTGAATTTGAAAACAGAGAAACCTACCGAAATTAAAGACTCCTTGAAAATCTGGTATTCACTATTTCACAGGAAGCTGAATGCTACATATTTTCCTTAGGTTTACCTAATTTATCAAAAAGAATTTAATTGCCATAAAAATATGGACTGACCTGTTTGATGCTCTTGGACAATGGGCTTGGAACAATACAATCATCACTGTCAGTTATTATGGATTCGATGGCATCAGTTGCTTGTCTATCGTCTTGATCTGTTAAAGTAAAAATCAATAGAGTTAAAACAAAATCTGTACTTATAGTCCAGTGGAGAATTATCGAGAAATCTGAGAACAACATATTAAACTTTTCTAATAAATATCGCATGAGAGAGTCAGGTAAATCACCTCTTCATTGTGGAGCATAACACAAGCAAATAACCATTAAATGGTCTAAACCAGTGCTCCTCAATCTTTTTCACTGGCAGAACAGATGGGCAGTGCCCACCCTGTCTGGGTCGGATCAGGCCAGTGGTCCTGATCTGGTGCCTGGGGTGGACCCAATGGGCACCATATGGCTGTGCGGAAGGGGATGGGGGGGGAGTGGTCAGCCTGGCTGCAATCTGGCCCTGCAAGAGAAAGGGGCTCGACATGCAATCTGGCCCTGCAGAGGAAGGGGCAAGGCCTGGCCCCACAGGGGGAAAGGAGGCTTGAATCATCCCAACAGGGAGGAAGGGGGTGTAACTTGACCCCAACTTGGCCCCCACAGAGGGGAAGGCAATGTGGCTTGGCCTCAACCTAGGCCTGTGGGGGGAAGAAGGTGTGGCCTAGCCCCAATCTGGCCACTTGGGGAGGAAAGGGAAGAGGGTGTGGCCTGACCTCAGTCTGGATCCATTGGGGGGGTTGGCAGCTGGGCATAGCTGCTGCATAGGGCTTGGGGTTTGGGAAGTTGCCAGGGGGGATGGTAGCAGTATAAATGGCCACTGCTCCTCTGCTGCCAAATTTCTTGACCCCTGGGGAGCCCTGTGGCCCAGATGCAGTGGCTCCGCAGGCTGCATTTGGCCCATGGAACAGAGGTTGAGCACCCCTGGTTTAAACAGTCACTATTTTTTATTTGGTCTTTGTGACAAGAAGGGGTCACAAGACCAGTCACTACCACAGCTTGCCTGTCTGGGCAGTCTGCCCACCTATCTCTCCTGCCACACCTTTGATGGATTAAAATATGTTCATGTAACAGGGTAGCCTCTTCACCAGGTCTTTGCTGGCTGCCCATGTGTCTCTGGGGTAACCTTTTGCTTTGCTTTTCTGCCACGCCTTGATAGAAAAAGTATGTTAGTAAGGCGGGAGGCTACCCATTTTCTTGCCCTTCTGATCACCAGGGCCTTAGTACATGCTCTGACCTCCCCTTACACATGTTCCATGCCTTGCAGATGTTTCTTTAGCGGTTGGCACTGGGACCTGAGCTCTGGAGTCTCACATGGGACTCTCATTCCCCACTGGAGCTCATGGTCCCAGCCCCCTCACCTGGGGGCTCCCATGCCACCAAGAGCCCCACCAGGCCACCCTTCCCTGGCAGGGTGCAGTTTTAGGTCTTACCCAGGACCAGGAGACTACAAGCCATCCCCCTAGCTCCTGCCCTTACCTGCAGGATGTTCCCTGCCAAAGGGAGCTGGGTGGTGCTGCTCCCTCAGCTGCATACAGCTAACTGCTGGCCCTGCCTGGTTGGCCTGTGTTTAAAAATGGCTACCCTCACCAGGCACCTGGCAGCTGCCTGCTCCAGCCCTTAAAGTGGCAGGCATCCAAAAGGTGCCCTGCCACAATTCAGTTTAGGCGAGAGGCTGCCCTGTTATTATCTCAGTGTTAAAGATTTATCCACACCTCCAGCCTCTCCCTTAGCATGTCCCAAGCCTTGTAGGTGTTATAATTTCTAGCACCTCTGAGCCCCTCTGGCTCTATGGGCTCCCTGTGCCCTTGTATCCAAGGCCCTCTGGCTCTAGGGCACAAAATGAGGCCTCCAAACCACCCCTTTTAGCCTCATCCTGGTCCTCTGGATGGAAACAGAAACACAAACCAAAAGCCTCCAAGCTGTAACTTGCCTATCTTCTAAAAGTAGGGTGGATATCATAGAGGACAGTACGGTTTTCTGCTACTCTGTCCTCTGTTGATACAAAACTGGATGCCTTCATGTCCTCTATTTTTCTCTTGAAGAGGAAAATAGAGGACATATAGATGTCAGGTTTCATATCAATAGAGAACAGAGTAACAGAAAACCGGAATGTCCTCTATGATGGCCACTCTACCCACAACACAAATACTATGTCCCTTTTCTACTGCATTCTCTCTAGCTTAAGTATCTGGGAGGTCCCTAGGTAGGTCCCACTGCATTGGGAAACAAAGCAGACAGTGTCAGTTCTCCAGCTGCTTCCACTTGCAGTTCTCCCTCTCTGGTGGCTGCCAGGGCTTCCCTTTTTTGACTATAGCCCATATCTTATCTAGGCCAAAACCCTGCCTCCAGCTGGTCATGTGGGTCCTGTAAGTGTTCCTTATTCCCTCCTTAGGCTGCAAACCTGGCAACCCACAGCTGGAGAGCCCTGCAGACTGGGCAGGGCTCTCTGACCAGTCAGCCACTTCTTGAAAGTAGCAGGCACCACTTAGTGCCCTGCAACAGTCTTCTACAAACACCAAAATGTATAATGATAGAAGCTGAGGGGTGCAATGCTACCAGATTTTCCCATGATGAACTGCAGTGTAGACAAACATTAAATCAATATTCCTATATTAAACTAATCTGTGGATTTTCACTCTTTGGGTTTCACCAACATGCTTGCATACATTGAGAATGTACTAAAAATAATTTCTTCAAGGTGGGATGGGGTTGGGGTAGGGTGACACTTCCGTAAATACCTCAGCTCTGTTTTACTGGAGAAAAGTTAATTTTAAAAAGGAAAAAGAGTTACTTCATCTTTTTCAAATTGTGCTAAAAGCAAAATATCTAACTAATTAAAAATTCTAGAATCCTGTTCCCACTCCTATTTTAAATCTCAGTCTCAGGGAATCAAGCTTGCTTTCCTGATAACTAAGTTTAAATATGAGCTAGAACAGGATGACTTGGGCCTTTGTACTCTTTACATAAATCTGCCTTTACCAACTTTGTGTCACACTTGTGAAAAAATATATTGCCCTCTCATTGTTTGAGAAAAATCTCTGATATTACTGATGGTAGTTATCTGCAGACAAAATGAGCATACATGTTAAAATATTCTTTAGAACAGCACAGTTCTGAAGGGGAAATATAAAGACACTTTAAATAGAAACAAGGTTTCCTTTAATATTTTATGAAACTAGGTCATATATCAGGTTTTTGCATTCAATTAACAGTATAGTTTCCACTTGGGCTAAGAATAACACCAACAAACCCACACACCTACAGCCATAAGGAAAACTAAAATATTCTGTCATGAAGCTTATAATAAGACAGCTCCCACTGTTAACAACAATTGCTTAAAAATGGGGAGAGGCAGATTTATTAGAGAAACAGATATATTTATATTTTATAAAAATGAAAATAACCTTCTGGTTCCAATTCCTCAGTTATTTCTGTTTCATCTTCAGAGGTAGCTGAACTGTGGTCAGCAAACTGACCCTCAGACAGATGAGAGAGATCATCTTTTTGCTGCAGAATTTCTTCAGCAGTCTCCTTTCCTTCATCATCTGCCAATCTTTCTTGCATAACCTTACATAAGACAAGCAATAAATAAAAATAACGTGTTTTACAGCCATTCTGTAGTATTTATAACATCTTGCATAGTAAAAATGTCACTTGGCCCTATCAAGATATATAATCTGATGGTTTCTAAACATTTAACTTATATTTTTAACCCATTTATTATTTCTAGAAACCTATATATTTTTTCAACCACCTTATTCTTCACATGATATTCTATTAAGTGATGAATCTTCATGTAGCATATTCACAAGGATTTCAAAAGCAAATTGCAAAAAGCATGTAAAAAAAGAACAATCTTTGTAGCTACATACTGAATGGCTCAAAATCTATTCAAGTCACAGACAACAGTAACTTAATTCAGTATGTACTATAAAAGACATCATACCCATCAAGGAAATCTGCTATAGTATCAAGACAGTCTGTGGAGAGTTAGATAATGAAAAATTTGTTACCATTTTTTCCAGTTTTTCTCCCCACAATCAGAAACAGCAAGGCTATTCCTTTCCTTCTACAAATAGCAAAGACTATTAAAAGTTGTCTACAAGCCTCTGAGACTTCCCAAAGTGATTCTACACTTGGACTTGATGAACTCTATTAAAACCCTTGAAAACAAAACACTGGAACAATACAAAGGAACCTTTGGAAGCCACTAAGGATTCTTCCATCATTAAAGAATCTTCATACCCTCTACAGCCCCCCTCTGTAGCCATATGGAACATGTTGGGAATGAAGTATTGTGTGATCTGGACAATCCTTGGCTACTGAAACAGTTCTTGAGCAAGAGTGGAAAAACTTTTTTGCAGTCCCTGAATGTATCTCCTCAGAAATGGAACACCTTTTGGCCTTCTCTGCCATGAGACGAAAGTAGAAAAGAAAGATTTTTTTCTATGAGAGGGTCATGGGTCCCATGGATGGGGGCAACAGAGAGGTGAGGAATGTAGTATATGTAATATGCCTCAACTTTAGTAAGGATTTTGACATTGTCTATTATGTGAATGCTACAGGCACCTAAGAAATTATGGGCTAGCTTACAAAACTGGATACACACATACTCAATTATGATTGGATAACTGGGATGAAAAGTAGTCACCAATAACAAAGTCAAACACAGAGGATGTGTCAAGAGTGGTTTCTTCATGAGTCTGTTTAGGGTCTGTTGTTCAACAGTTTTTCTAAGGACTTGAAAGATGGAATGAGCGTATACTAAATTTCTTGGGGACTGAGTGTGGTTTCAGGATCACTAGAGGATAACATGAGGAAATCAAAATGACTTTGATTAATTTATGAAATAGTTTGAAACAGAAAGGATGAAATTCAGTCAGGACTATTGCAAAATACTACACTTGGAAAGTTAAAAAATAAATCAAATGAACAAATGTAAAAAGGAGAGTGACTGGCCAGTCTGCAGTAGTTCAGCAAAGAATCTGGGGTTATACTGGGTCCAAAGTTGAATCTGAGTCATCAGTGAGATTTTTTTTTTTCCCCAAGGGGCAATGACATACTGGCCATACCTACACAAGACACTTACTGTGCAGTACTGCACAGTCATTTAATAGTTGTATAAATAAGTATTAAAATGACAGTGCAGAAACTGGAGTTTCTGAGCAGTTGTGTCGCTGAATGGCTTTTTCATGACGCTTACTTTGCAGTAGCCTGAGACTACTGTGTAGTAGCACTGCATCACAATTTGTGCTACGTGATGCTACTGTGCAGTCATCTTGTGTAGACATGGTCACTGGGATGCATTAATAGGAATGCCATATACAAGTCAAAATACCATGTTTACCGAAATCTAAGATGAACCTGAATTTAAGATGACCCTTCAATAATATAAATTTTTCCATATAAAAAAAATTCTAAAATTTATTATCATTTTCCAGGTATAGAATTTAATTATTGGAGAGTTGTCTTAAATTCACTCCTCCCTACCACCACACTATTACAGCAAGGAAAGCAGTGGCTAGGGGTGGGCAGGCAGCCAGCCCCCTTTCCTTCTGCCTCTCCTACTTCTTCCACCCTGCAGCTCTCCACAATTTCTGCCCCTTCCCCCCTACCCACTCCCTACAATCTCTGTCCCTTCCTCCCTACCCCCTACCTCCCATCATATTATCAGATGCTGCTTAGGCTCTATTCCCTCCCAGCTCATGGAGCACAATACACAGAAATGCAGCTCTTGCTAGGCCATGCAACAGAGAGTTTTTCTGATCTCTGTGCCTGGGAGGGAATCCCACCAGAGCTGGAACTAAACTGCCTGACAGTAAATGGGGGAAAGGGGGCAGAGGGAGGACGAAAAGCTATAAAGGGCAAGCAGAGTGGGGTGGGGCAGGAGGCTGCTATGGGCCAGTAAGAGTTGCAGCAGCTGTCTGCCACCTGACTCTGCTTTGTATGCAAATCTATGATGAGGGGTTTTCCTCCCACCTTCCCCATGGTGACTGGGGAAAAACCCCTCAACCTAGATTCAAGTAAATATGGTAAGTGAGTTTTCTATTCTTTTAGCATTGGTGATTCCTCATTTAGTCTGAAGCATCATAGCTTAAAGACATGGACAAACTGCTGTGGACACTCCAGAGCATTTTGGAGTTCTAGAAAAAGACTGGAAGTAGACTACAGCAGTGATTCTTAAGTGGGGTGCTGGGACAGGGTGATTCAAGGTGTGAAGAGATACGTGAGGTACAAGGAGATAGGAAGATAAACTAAGTGGATAAGAGCAGACTCAGGCTTACCCTGCCTGGATGATCTTCCATGCCCACTGCCCAGTCCCTCCCTCTGCAAGGAGATATACACTACATTATATAAGTTTTTGAAATCGGGTGCTATTCAATTTACAGAAGTTATGCACAGGTGGCTTGAGTCTAAAATGGTTGAGAACCACTGACCTAGAGAAAGAAGGACCAAAGAAGGCATTTAATAAGTGGCTTCAAATACAAAAGGGATTCCTCTCCATGTTCACAGTGGATGAAATGTAACATGCTTAAAAGCTAACAAGGGACATTTAAGTTAGGTATTAGGAAGAACTTTGTCAGTATGAGAGCGGTTCAGCACTGGAAGAGATTACTTAGAGGTCGTGGAATCTCTATAACTGGAAAATTTTCAGCACAAATTAAATAAACATTCCTTCCAGACTTAATTTTCTATGATTTTAAATTGGAGAGCGTCCTATAACAGGAACATAATGCATGTTGCCCCATGATATCCAATTCTTCTTGGCACTGCATTTTTGATTCTTTAATATAACATGAGGAAGAATATAATATAATATATATTATGTAGATTTCATAGATTTAATAGACATTAGGGCTGGAAGGGACCTCGGAAGATCATTGAGTCAAGCCCCCTGCCTGAGGGGCAGGAAGTCAGCTGGGGCCATAGGATCCCAGCAAGATAAGCATCCAAATTTCTGTTGAAGGTGTTCAATGTAGGCACTTGAATCATCTCTGATGGCAGGATATTCCAGACCTTGGGGGCTCGGACAGTAAAGAAATTCTTCCTTATGTCCACCCTGAAACAGTCTTGCAGTAGTTTATAACCGTTCAACCTTGTCATCCCTTGGGGTGCTCTGGTGAACAAACGTTCCCCCAGATACTGGTGGTCACCTCTGATAAACTTACAGGCGGCCATCAGATCACCCCTGAGCCTGCACTTTTCCCGGCTAAAGAGCCTGTCATCGTAAGGTCTGTTTTCCTGACCTCTGATTGTGCTCTTCTCTGGACTCTCTCAAGCTTTTCCACATCCCTTTTGAATTGTGGGGCCCAAAACTGGACGCAGTACTCCAGCTGCGGCCTCACCAAGGCCGAGTACAAGGGGAGAATGACGCTTGGGATTTGCTTGAGAAGCATCTATGGATGCAAGTCAGCATTTTGCTCCCTTTACTAGCTGCAGCACTGCATTGAAGGCTTATGTTCATCTTGTGGTCAATGATGACCCCCAAGTCCCTTTCATTGGTAGTGCTAGCCAGCGTAGCAGTGCCGAACCTATAAGGATGCTGCAGGTTTTTCCTCCCAAGGTGGAGAACCTTGCATTTTTCAGTGTTAAACACCATCAGGTTCTCATCCGCCCATTTGCTGAACCTGTCTAGGTCAGCCTGGATC